GCTGAAAAGTCTCTACCTCAAAAGACTATTAACTCAAGCAAAATGAAGGAATTTGGTTTGCTTGCTCCAGAGAAAATGTTCCAGAAACAAAAAAAGCTAACAGTAAAAACGGGGTTCAAGCAGAACAATATAGCAAATCAGACATCACCATCCACCTTCACTCAATTGGAATTTCTCACAACGAATGTTACTACATATCCCAATACAGCACCGGCAAGAACCTGAACCAATCTCAGGGTAAAATGACTTTAAAATTGGTGTGAAATGAAAGGCAATAATAAGCAAGAACCTAAAATGTCAATAATGAGTTGTAGAATGAAATAATACCACAACAATGTAAATATTGGTTGTGCTTTAATGGCGGTTGCATCCAACTAAAAAACTGCAAGGATGACATCATCATGCCATTAACTTTTATCGATCCATTCAGGCTAAATTCAAAAATTCATCTATTAACTTTCAGTTTAATTTCAGTTTCATCTATTATCTTTGAATTGTTTCAATTCTATCTATTATCTTTCACATTTATTTCAATTTCATCTAGGCAGTTAAAGTTAACAAAAATCTTAACGGAAATCTTCTTAAATTTAGTACTCTAACTATGTTTCTTTTAATCTTTTAGTCCTTAAATTTATATTCACAGTAAAAATAGTTTTTATTCTTATTTTGCTAAATGTGTTTTTCAGAAAATTATTTTACAGAGCAGACCGCATTTAGTCCACCCTGTAAAATTATTTAAATACCCTTAATTCTATTTTTGTATTATTTTTTCATGAACATTTAAATAATTTTATAAGACAGATTGTACACAGTCTGTCCTATAAAATAGACTTATTTGTGAAATTTCTTATTCTAAACTTACTGAATTTCTTTATTTGAATTACAATCTATCTCTATAAACTATTTTTTGATTCATCATATTTTATTAGGATTTAAGTGTCACTTTTTTAAAACTCAAAGGACTGCTCTTTCCTCAAATCTAATGGCAATCTAACATCATCTTTGTACGGTAGACTAATTTGAAATATTCTTCAAAGTTTCTAGATCATTTAGAAATGAAACAAACTTTCTAGATTAAAATGAAATTAAACTAAAAGTTAGTAGATGATTTTTTGAATTAAGCCGATCCATTCATAAGCCCATCATCTATGTCTGACATGGCCTTTTTTTGTTGACATGGATGTTGAGATGGAGGTTCCACCTCAGAATGCACCCCATCAGGCAAATTACTCTTATACTACTAGAAAAATGATTAAATCAAACCGATTATATACGGACTGAATCATGTCGGTCTGCGTAAATATATATTCAGACCAATTTTGGTCCGAATATATTAAGGTGGTACCAAATCCATTAATCGAAATATTCGGACCGTTTTCGGTCCGTATATTTATGGCAGGGAGTAACAGTGCAAACGCACCAATAATATTCAGACCAACTACGGTCCGAACATTTTTTAGGTAAAATTAAATATTAAATAACAAAAAATTAAGAATAAAATATTATTTAAATAAATATATACGGACCATAATCGGTCCCTATATATAACTCAGAAAATGTCGATGTTCATTTAATATTCAGATTGATTTCGGTTTAAATATCCATAAATATTCAGACCGAATATGGTCCAAATATTTTTTAGAAAAAAAATAAATATTAAACAACAAAAATTAAGAATAAAATATTATTTAAATAAAGATATATGGA